GCAAGGGGTCTTCGCATACAATAGCTATATTAGTCGATTTTTTTTTTTTTCAAAAATGGTAAAATTATACATGAAATTAAATAGACCAAGATGCATGGCCGATTATCTTGCAGGTTCGCGACGCATATCACACATCTAAGCAAATTGTACTTTAAACTACTCAGGAAGCTGTTAGGATGCCCACATATAAAATCCACCGTTGATCCGTGACCCAAAACCGTACCAAAATCGCGATTTAAAGTTCAGATTTCATCCGTTTCGGCGCAAAAAATGCCGAGTGAAGAATTACGTCATTATTTTCCAACGACCAATCAGCGAGGCCCTTCTGTCGTGGTGCGGTGAATGGACCAATAGCGGGCGCTGTAAGTAAGAGCACGCGCATGCGCGTAAGCACTACTAGACAGCAAGATGGCGGCCGCCATGAGCTACTCGGACGACGGCGATTCGGACGAATCATGCATGTTTCGAATGCCGAATAGAGCGTTTCATCGTTCTTCGAGACAAGCTGGACAAAAGTACTTGCTTGTGCTGCTAGTCGGAAGAATGTGGGGTGATCAACACACGCAGAAATCGTGGAAAAAGCGGAGAAGTTCATCGGCATGCACGTGCACTGATGCAGCACTCTCGTCTCGATCGTGGTGGAAGGAGAGAATTTCGGAAGGAGATACCGGAATCATCGGCCTACGTTAGTTCGTATTCTTGCCTTGAACTTAATTATAAGAAGCTGTTGGATTCGGAATATTTCAGAATATTTTTTTCTACAACCTAGATTCATATGATGTGTGATTTGTTTTGTAAAACATGTTTCTAGTAATAATATTAGCACATGTGATTAGTAGACCATCTGACCGTCATGACCGTCATGACCGTCCATCATTGTTGACAGCCAGCATGATCTGATGATCATGGTTGGCAAGGTTAGGAAAAGCCACAGATCAAAGAATTTTTCCCCCTCACTCAGATATAGGATTTTAAGACAAGGAAGAGACTCTTACATTACACTACAGAACATTTTATATTGAGTAGGCCTATGCTCCCTGAACTTGGCGACTGTGTAAAGAACGGCCGGTTCCCTTGATTTAAAAAATAAGGAGAACAAAATCTACTTTGACTTTATACTTGGCATCATTGGGGATTTGTTTGTGTAGTATGTTGTGGGTCTACCATTCAATTTAAGCCACAATTTGCTCTGTAATAATTTATAATTATCTAAGTACAAAGTCGTTAAAACCAACATTTTGCCATTCTTTAAGCTGGCAGCTCATATGATAGCGTCCTCATTTCAACTGTACTTTTATTTCCTTGCTATTGTTTTTCTAGAAAGTATAATATAATTAAAAAAATAATGAGAACCTGCCCACTTCTCTAGTAAATGTCAAGCCCTCACTGTCAATATATTTAGATTTTAGATTTTCACTTTTTTTTCCATTTTTAAATTTTTTCCCCTGATCACTACATGTGAAGAGTAATATACATGTACGGATAATAAATGTTTGTACCTGAAGGTGCCATGATGTAAATCTTTTCCTAAGTTGGATGAAAGAATGTTCCATTCGACAAGGTGAAGCTGAGTTGAATGGAACATTTCTCTTTGACCCATAATTCTACAATCAACTGACAAAGATTTAGATTGTGAAATAATTGAAATGAGAGTAATGAGTGATATTTTAAAAATATGTTTTCAATTACAGGCATTTGGATACCATCAACACATTCAGCAGTGCTACAAACGTATCTGTGATGTTTCCAGGATAGACCGTGCAGAAAGACCAAAGATTTAGATTGTGAAATAATTGAAATGAGAGTAATGAGTGATATTTTAAAAATATGTTTTCAATTACAGGCATTTGGATACCATCAACACATTCAGCAGTGCTACAAACGTATCTGTGATGTTTCCAGGATAGACCGTGCAGAAAGACCTGCAAAGAAACAGCTGTTTGTTCATGAAAGTCAAGGTATTTTTGCCTTTTTTCTATGGAGTCACATGAGCACACTCACTTGAAAAATATAACATGCCTAAAGCAGGGGCTGGTTGGAGATAGAGCCTTCCTCTACACAATTTAGTTTGAGTCAAGGTTTCATAATTTTGTAGCTAAATCAAATTGGAAATACTTGCAAACATATACATGTACAAGCCTTACTTTAGAATTGACAATCTCTGGGAATTTGCTTCTCGTACAGTTTTAAAAAACATTCCATTCATTGCTAATGTTTATTTCTCAAGTCAAAACATGCAGTGCCTGTTGCACAATAAGAAAATGCAATTTGCAATTAAAAATTGCTGTCATTTAAGAAAGGGATTTTTCTCGTAATTTGACAACTTGCAGATACAACATGTTCCAGATGTGAACTGTGATGGAGTCACTGATGCCGCCAAACAAGGATGCCTTGCACCTGCACGTAAAGAGGGCTAACTACTAGGCAGCCATATACAAGCGGGCCCTGGATGCACGTCCTGAAGTGCCGTCTAGTCTCCACACAGAAGAGGATGGAAGGTCATCGATGATGACATCAGTATCCACTGGATGGATCTTTCCCCCTGCCCCAGACAGTGTCATGTAATTTGTCCATTGCTCATGTAAAAAAAAAGTCAATGCACAAAAGGCCAGTGTAGCTGTCTTGAAAAAACTTGTGCAATTGCACCAACTGTGAAAACATTCTAAGTGAAGGGCCAAAAGTGATGATTCCGAAATCGAGGATTAACTAATGTAAAAACTGACCATCACGTACATGTACGTCTATCTAAATAAGGAATAAGATTGTCACTTGAGAAACTTCGAATCACACAGTCTGCTTCCCATCCACTTAAGTATTTCCAAATTTGAATCAATAGGACTTGTGTTTAACTAACTTACATTGTTATAGATGTACACAACTAAAAAACACCAAATTTCAATCTTACAATTGAAATGGACACCGTTGACTTTTTCAGCAAGGGGATGGGAAATAATTTTGCTGTGTGATTTCCTTTTTGACAAAACTTTTTTTTTAAAGCGCTGACCGTGAAGCCAAAGAAGTTTTTTTGTGGTAAATTGTAAGGGCTTGAAACAGGTTTATTACTCTTCGGTAATGTTCGTGCTTACAAGTGTTATTTGTTGTTGATCAAATAGACTCTATTAAGACATCATTGAGAGTGTTTTGTTACTGTAATTCCTTTTGGGGGGGGGGGGATGCAGAAGATTGTCCTCCAAGATGCTATGCAAAAGGCCGAAAAGGCTCTAGGTTGATGCCTTTGTGTAGAGAGAAATGTTTCAAATTTTATTTTAGAGGTATTCACCAATCCTTTCATACATTGTACCATGTTCTCAACAGCAGTTCTGGTTTCGTTGAAGGTTGATGACATTTTTCGTGTTCTCCTTCGACCCTTCAAATGATTTGAAATTTAGACAACGGAACTCACTAACGGATGTAGTTTTCAGATGCCAATGGATTCGCCGTTGAAACATTCATGTCTGTTCACCGTTTTGCAATGACTAACCTTTGTTGAGATGATATGAAGAAAAGAGGGGTGCCAGGTTGCAACATCCCTTCCTGGAACTGTTTAATACTTAAGACAGTTGCCAAAAATCAAAAGTACATGTTATTGCAGTATATTTTAATCCTCAAAAATATTGGCTCCACCAGAGACACAAACCGCAAACACTGTATTATAATCTTTGCCAATCACAGTACATGTAATTATTTCTCAAGTCATTTTAATTACTGTTTACCGTATTGTTTGTTGTATGAATAAATATCTTCAAAGGCTGAAGTTATAAAGCCCCGTGGTCATGTTTATTTTTTCATTCAGACTAAACTCATTCGTATTTGTGTCGGACACTTTGTTGAATGTTATTACATCATGAACCAGAAATACTCTGTAGCTTAACCAAAAAGAAAATTGAATAATCAATAATACCCCATTAAGAATTTCAGAAAAGAGCAATACATGTACATGTATTCTAAATAGAAATAAAAACAAAAGGAGGAAACATTTGCACGGAGGCTGGGAAAGGGCTTGTAAAATCTTCCTTAATTTTCAATGGGATGGAAAATTTGATATTTAAATTAATTATTGGAGCATTAAAAGTCACCCCAAGTTCCTTTTTATTGAGTCTTGGCTCTGTAGAGACCCTTTTTAGCAAGCAACAGCAATGAAACAATCTTTCCCATTGAAAATGTGCACAGTTTTCCAATCCCGGTCAATAGAGGGCGCCCTTTTTTGAACTGCTGATTAAAATGCAAATATTTAAATGATTGGTCACTTTGGGATTGTGGATTTTGTTTTTTTGTCATCCATATGGTCTCAGCTAATAACCTGCAAAAATTCACTTAGATTTGAGAGGTGCGCCACGAAAATCACTTTCTGAGCACATTTTGCAGCCATGCCCCGTGGTCTAAAAGCTCTTAATAAGAGAAATGTGATGGTACAAAAATAATTGCTTCCATTCGAAAGTTATGGCTCCTTAAAAATGCAAATCCATGAAACCTTTCTCCGGTCATGCAGGTGGAATTCTTGGAATTTTAATTTTACATTCATTTGGTTTTCATTTTTTGTCAGATTTTGTCAAGTTATATATCAAATTGAAGCCCTTGATGTGAGCAATGCAATGGTGCAAAGAAAATTGAAATGGATGCCTCCAGTCGAAACTTACAGTTTCTTAAATGTCCGAATCATGGAACTTTAGTAGGTGATTTAGATACACTTTCTTGGAATAATTCTACTTTTGCTATAGTTTCATATTCTCTTAAACATAGACAAATTATACATCAAATGAAAGCTCTTAGTGAGCAAAATGTAGCCTTCTAAATGAAATTGTAATTATCATCTGCCATTAAAAGGAAACACCTTCTGAAAGTCACCTCTTAGTGACCTGAAAACAAACCTCTTCATCATCTTTACTGTCTGTTACACAAAATCGTTTATTATTATTTTTTGTGAGGAAAGAAGATAATTGCCCATACATTATAAAATCTAACAGTGCATGTAGGATATTTACAATGCCACCTTTGTTTCACTGTTCTAATGTTCTTCTTCGATCACCAGGTCTCCAGCCTCAAGATCTTCAAGGAGTTGATAAGTGTAAACAGTGTCCGGTGATTCTTCGTAAGCAATATTGAACCATGATGGAAAACCTCGTACCTAAATCAAAAGAATTAAAAGAAACTGCATTCAGGATCTAGATTGTTATATTCTGAAAAAAAACCGGCTTTCCGCATCAAATCAGAGTAAATATGAACCTGTAGCTCACAAGACTTTACAAGTCACAAAACATGACACAATATCACAACCTATGAAAAAAAAGCAATTAGAAAACAATTGTGCCTGTAAAAGGTGAAACTTTTGTGCAGTGCAAATTAATAGTAACGCATGGAGCAAAAAAATATGAAAATACTAAAAAGAACATTAGTACCTGTGCATGTAACGGCTGTATAACTCCAACTTCAATGATATGAACAATATTGTTGTTAACTGCTTTCAACAAAGTGTAGTCATACCATGTATTCATGCCGTGATTTACATGATGAAGGGAATGATAAGAACTCATGTTGTGAAAAGCAACATTGCTAGTTCTCACTTGTGATATGACCTTCCCTCTCCACCATTTAGTTCCCTGATCCGTTTCAAATCTGTGGTGGACTCTCTTGTTGACAAGTCTAGTAGTACCACTGGGTTCTTCCTCTAGACGCTCCATGAGTTGGCCATCTCTGATCAGTTGCTTCACATTTTGTGCTAGCTCATCTGGTAGTAACTGCCTCCTCTTCTTATTACCCTCATCATCCTCGACTTGTACTGAGAAATTTTATAGTTTGACATCACTTGCTTTTTGTTCCAGTAGGTTCTTTCTGAACTTCAGCTGTGCCTTGAGGAGATGTAACTTTTCAGAATTAGACAAGCCTATCATTGCTTGATCCACCTGTTCTTCACTTTGAAGAAGTCCCCAGTACAATATATCATTGGCTTGTTGGATTTTGGCATTAAGTTCCTTCTTTTTTGCTGCTTCTCCCTTCCGAAATTTTTCTCTTTGGAGCTCTGCTTTTTGTTCCTTTATTTATTCTGTCTGTCTTTGAACTCTTTTTGGAGTCTTTTCACTTGCTTTCTTGATTCTTGCAGGATTTTCTTCTCCTCTTCATCACTTTTTGCGTCAAGCCACTCTCCAGTCTTGTTAAATGTAAACATCAGGCTTGCTTCTGCAGTTATTGTTGATATATGTGGCCTCGTTCGCAGCATTTGATCATAGAATGCAAAGATTGTTTCACAATACTTATTGTGCTTTACTGTGCATTTTGCTGCTGTTCTCATTTCTTCAGTAGCAGCTGCATATTTTCCTCCTGGTAGATGATCATGGTACAGTCTCTGTGTTAACTTGGCCAAGACGGGGAGAACAGAACCCAGAACTACTAGGCAATCAGTGTCAACTTCTGATTCAGCTATGACAGCTTTGTACAAGACATCATCTTTTACGTTAACATCTGGAAAGGGACGTTTTTTTCCTGTCATGAAATCCTCCAAGTTGTTGTTAGACACATCTTTGAGGAATGTAACCAACTGAAGGTATCGTTCATTCATGTCTATTATATTGATGTTTGGATCTTCTATCAATTTCCAGAGTGGAGTCGTGACGAGTTTGCAGATAAGACCGAACGCCTTGCACTCAGCCAGAAAGAATGGGACCTCCAGGTCATGTAGTACCCAGGTTGCACTGCCCTCTTTCTCTAAGAAGTCCACCATTTCTTGGTGCAGCCAGTATATGCAGCAGGCATTGTGAAACAAGATGTTAAATCTGTTACCACGATATGGTGTGAGAGGAAGACTTCGGTAGCCAGCGGCCTTCAGTAGGTCATTCACCACAACTACAAAACGTCCATGGCAGCTGGTCTTAGCATCACCACCATATGCAAACACTTTGCATGTGGTGCGTATGAGTCTGCAAACTCCAGATTCAGAGGCTTTTCTGAATTTTGGGTCTTTGATTGGTACATTTTCAGGTCCTTCAAAATGCAGGACTTCGACTTCCTTAGTTGAGCTGTTAGCTGCTTCTGCTATGTGAACTAAACCATGCAGTTCACAGAAGAAATTGTTCATCCTTCCAAGTTGAGTCTTCAGTTCCTCTGGTAGGTCTTTCCAATCCTCGACAATTACGGGCAGGATTTCTGATCTATATGATTCCAGAAGTTCATTGAATTTTCCTTCTGTTGCTGCTCTGTCTGACATGGTATTGCGCAGATGAAAGAGCAGGTTTTGTGAAGCCAGATTATGTGATGGTTTGTAGTAGAGTTTATCAATGTCCCAAAGAATCTGCTTTAATGTATCCAAAGTGTCTTTGGCCGATTTTGTGACAAGGTCTCTTAGGCCTAAAACATATGGTCTTCCCTCTGTGTCTCTGATAGCATATGCCCCATATTTCTGTCCAAATTTTGATGTCTCATCAGTTTCTATCGTAGTATACTCCTTGCTTGGAAGTTCCTCTGCTATTTGTTGTTGTTGAGCAATAACGAGTCTCTGCATATTGATGCTGCGCACAGTTCCTTGACTCGGTAGCCTGTTGGCTTCTTTTCCTGCCAATTTGAGAACTCCAGATATCACACTACCAACACGATTTGTTGCAACATTATCAGTGAGAAGTTTTTGAACACATCTCTGGGTTTCTGGTGTATATTGTTTAGTGTGTTCATCAAACAATTCAACAACACTACTTGTTTGCACTTTGTCTTCTAAGATGTCATATGCATATTAAAGTTCTATCACTTGTTTCCTGAGGTCTTCGGTTTCATCTGTAGTTCCTGGCTGATGCTGCTGCGGTGGCTCCAACTGTTGTTCTAAATTTGCATACTTAGATCTGTAATATTGTTCCCGATGCCTGACTCTTTCTATTTCTGCTTGTTTCTTGTTGTTTCTTTCTTGAAGACTCTCTAATGCTCCAGCTTTTTCATCGATCTCACGTTGCATTCTTTTGACCATTTCGTCTAATTCCTGTATCTTATCATCCCTGCTTTTTATTTCTGCATCTACAGTCTTTCCCACAATTTTACTGGTTGAGGGAGTATCCAGTCTTTCAAGTTGACCGGCAAGTGTGACAGTATGTGGCCTGGTGAATGGAAGCTGCTTTGCTGGAAATTCAAAGGTTTCTTCTAACCAGCTCTTCAGTGTTTCTTCCCCTCCTTGTTTGTGCTTATTTTTTTTTTTAAGTCTTTTGTACTTATCTTGAACCCGTCTTTCTCTCTGAACTATGCTGGGAATTTGTGATTCAGGATATGAATATGTTTCTGCAATCCATGTTGCCGTTTCAGAAAGCGATCCTGTATCCAGTTGCTGAATTATCTCTTTATTTTTGGGTGGGGCTAGTGGACGAGCAGTGGCCATTATTGCAATAGCTGTCTTAATTCGTGCAATCCCTGTTCCAGTCTTCTTAAGTCTGCAAGAGTCAAGTCAGTCTGTGTTTCCTGAGAAAAACCAATGGTTAACTTATACAACAAAAGCTGGGTTGGAAAGAGTTCATCACTTGACATCCCGTGCACAAACCCTATTAGACTGGTCTGATAAATAATAAGTATTTTTAAGTAAATGCTTCATTATTTTCCCTGCTAGTGCCTAATTTGACTTTTTAGGACATATTATCACTTTCTGATGGCTGATATAACTCTGCGGGGAACACTTAGTGATATCTGTGTATGAAACTCTTTGCGCTGGGTTTACCGCTGGTCATTATTATCATCACTACTTGCAAACACAGCACAAGAAATCAACTTTACACAATGTGCCTTGCTAAAAGAAGAATATGTACATTTGTAAGTATTGAATTACAGTTTCTCACATGCATATCTCCCAAGTTATATTGCTGGCACTGTGTCAATAGAATTTTCAATAAATTACATGTATACTTACTTTTTCAACACTTAGGCTCGCTACTTGACTGAGAAACTCTTTCACTACTGTGCCGTCTTCTCTCACATGGTAGACATAATTCCCGCCTCTCCCTGAGTCCAAAAGTTCTTGGGACAGCTCACTGCTTTCCTCCGAGTCTGACCACTTCCTCGTCCTCTTTGCTTTATGCTCAGCTTCTTTCCTGTTGGGCTCATCTAACTGTTAAATACATTTTTGAGGAGAAATGCATTACTATTGGTTAATTTCACGATTCTGCCATCAATGAAAATTACACCAGCAACATTCACATATGCCCCAATAAGTGACAATTTTACTCTCAAAAACAACAACTCACTTGAAGCTGCTCGTTTGGCCACTTTTGCCCACACTCCAACTCAGAAGATGTAGGGGATGGCTGTGAAGGAACTTGGTCAGGTGACTGATCCTGATCTGACTGTAAAGATGAATGAGAAATAAAAGAAATGTTAGAAGAAGAGGAAGAAGAATATTGACAATTATGATTGATGGTGATGATGACGATTGGGATGATGAGGAGGAGGGGGGAGGAAGAGGGCGGCTCCTCAGATGGTGATGACAATAATGATACTAATGAAATAAATGAAGACAAGAGAAAGACAAACAGAAAGAAGAGAAAAAGTGAAGTAGTTAATCATCTTACCATATCATATATGATCTCTTTAGTTCAAGTTCCAAGGATATTCACAATACAGTCTTGAGGTCGATCTTGAACAATGTGCTTTTAAATTTAATGTAAAAGAAAAGTTTATTTTAATAATAAAATTATTGTTATTACCTATTATGTCCGCCTGCCTGCATCAATCCGACTTTTTAAAAAATTTCATCAAAGCCATCATTTTTTTGTCCTTTTTGTTATCATTAACATGGGCGTCGTGAGGAGGGGCACCCCCCCCCCCCCCAAGAAAAAAAAAAGAAAAAGAAAAAAGGAAAAAGAGTTGCGAAGACATATTGCTGTAATTTGATTGGGGGGGGGTAGGGAAAATGCTCCCCTGCTCACGCCGGAAAAAATGATAAATTGAGAATATAAATATTAACAAGTTAATGAATTTTTGGGGAAAATTTGCTTTGCCCCCCCCCCCCTGGAAAAAATCCTGGCGACGCGCCCATGACCATTAATCATAAAGTCACACGTACTAGTTATTAAACGTGATGGACGCAAAATCTGGCGAAATCAAGAAGGCACCCAAGTTTTGTTTTTGTCAATTTCGCACTGAGCGAAACAGATTTCAGCTTGAAATCTGGACTTTCTAGGCAGAAAATAAGCCACCAAATCCATTTATGGGTGTTTAAAAAACGTCCCCTAAATACCTTCTAAAAACTGATTCAAACTCAATCAAAATGATGATTTTCTGTACAAGTGATACAAAAAACTCTTTTTGGGGAACTAATCAATCGATTTTGATCGTGAAAGTAGCTTTCATAACAAGAAAAACTTCTCAGGTTACTTTCTGACCTTTTAAAACGAGTATAAAGGTCATTTAAAGCGGAAAACACGTCATTTTTGTGACCGCCTTCAACCCCTAACTTCCGGGTCCGGTCATTCAAACAAAAATGGCGATCGTGAATTCGGCCACGAAAAATCAGTGCTATGAAAAACTTATCAAAAGTCACTTTTTTTACTTCCAAAATGTAAGAAATCTTTCAGTGACATAATTTCGATAACATTTCACGCAAGTTTGTGAAGTTTGGTGGCCAAAAACTGAAAGGTGAGTGTTCTGTAGCAATTTAAATTCGGTAATTTTACGTGCGCCGCGAATACAAAAGGTCAATATCGCGAACCCGCTGCGATAGCTACATACAATTTCGATCTTTTTTTAATAGTAGGTCGATTATTGTACGATGCGCAATAGGTTTTACACACAATCGACGCCCACAAAAATGGTAATTTTTCAGTTTGAAGGACCCCATGCTCTGGGAATGGCTGGTTGTAAGATGATCAAGGGGAACTCTAAGACCCAAAAAAACATTGCTTTGACCCAGAGCAAGGGGTCTTCGTATATACTTTTGATCTATTTTTAATAGTGGGTCGATTATTGTACGATGAGCCATAGGTTTTACACACAATCGACGCCCACAAAAATGGTAATTTTTCAGTATGAAGGACCCCATGCTATGGGAATGGCTGGGTGTAAGATGATAGATGGGATCTCCAAGATCCAGAAAAAACATTACTTTGACCCAGAGCAAGGGGTATTTGTATATACTTTGGATCTATTTTTAATAGTGGGTCGATTATTGAACGATGCGCCATATGTTTAACATACAATCCCCGCCCACAAAAATGGGCATTTTTAAGTATGAAAGACCCCATGCTCTGGGAATGGCTTGGTGTAAGATGATCGAGGGGACTTCCAAGATCCAGAAAAACATTACTTTGACCCAAACAACAGAAATAAAGCTTGCAAGAACTTACCGCCACATAACCTGATGGCCCTGGTGTGTCCTTGATCGTCCAAAAGTCATTTAAAAAAAAGTACAATATTAAACAGGGTGTACATAACTATTGCATGTATTGAGTTCATATTTTATTCCAGTACATGAATATGCCAGTCTTTAAATTGGATGTCCTTCAGATTAGTTCAGAATGAGGTAGAAGACAATCAATTTCAGAACTGCTTACCACTGGTTTTCAGTACACATTTATATTTATAAACAGAAGCAAAGACTGTAATGCTTGCTCATCAGGAGATCATTTTCACAATTTAAAATACTATTGTTGAGGATACAAATGAAGTGATTCGCATACATTTTTGGACGAATCCGCATGGTCAATACTAAGTCATTTGTTATCTTAACATCATCATTTGGGAGCATCAATTCTGAGGAGGTAAACATTTCAACTTTGATTTAGTTTACCGATTTATTCAGCCTATGAAAACAGTTCAAACAAAATCAGGTGACCCATGATGACTTCATCATGCATCAGTCTTCAGGACACATATTTGCTTTTGGGACTATGCCTATACCAATTTTAAATGATGTATGACAAAAAATTAATGCCAAAAGTGGGTGCCAGAAAAAAACTTGTACAAGGTCTTTGGCCTTTGGAATAGAATAAAAAAGAGAAGCAGCAGCATTTTCATTACAAAAAAAATCCCACAACTTGACACAAACTTGACAACATTTTTACAGCTTCCTTTAGGTTTTGTTTTTGTGTTGTATCTTTGGCATAGATTTATGGGGGAATTGGGAGGGATGTAATCCCAAACATTGGACTGTTTTGAGAAATTTTGGTCTTCTCCTTTCCCCCTTTTGCACATATGGCCTTTAGTTTTCTTGTGCTTGTTCAGCTGATATTGTGTGGAGAACAATACTTCAGGCAAGTAAAACAAAATTTAGATTTTTTGCATTTTCTTTTTTTCTCTCTCTCTTTTGCCTTTGCCCAACAAAAATAAAGTGCGTACTTGTGATGCCTGACTTGAGCTCTTGTTCCCGTATGCAAACGGCCTTTCGAAGGGTGGAAGTCAAATCGACGTTGATGTCCTTAAGTCTGGCCAATTTTGCTTCTGCCAAGCCATAGCGTGTCCTCCACTCCTGGTGCATGATTAGGAAATGAGCCAGCTTTGACAGCGACTGGAGGTACGTGCATTGAGTTTTCGCTTGTCTGTTATCCGCTTGAAGGAATTTCAACACTCTGTAAACAGGTTCACAAAAGAAGTTGTTAATGATAAAACCTTTCAAGCCAATGTTGATTGAATCTGTAGACAGTTTTTTTGTTCAAAGCTTCATTTAATCCAAAATTCCAAATACATTACGGTCAACTTATCTTTATACTTTGAAAACCAGATAAACTGTTGTTGTTTTTTAGTTTGTTTATAAAGTTAACTAATCCTTTGCATATAGTTCTAGTTTTTTGGTTTCCTCTAGAGGTTCACCCAGAATTAAAATTGAGGAATTTAAGTCCTCTGTGAACCAGTCAGGAAAGAGGGAAATGTATATTAAATTAATGATGGAATCTTTTCTGGGTTTGATACCAACATGACTAATGTTTATCCAAACGAGTCTAAAATAAATGAGTATATCGGTTTATTTTGTTTATTACTTTATCTCATGATTTTGTTTGAGTTGCTTCTTGGGAAGTACATCTTGCTAAATAAAGTTCTGATTAATTTTGCTTAGCGTTTAACTGTTTGATTACTTATTGTAAAAATCACTGTTCGACGAAGACCATTCAAGACATGCTATTTCTGTCTATTTCTGTCTTCGTCTATTTTCAGAATAAACATCAGGAAGGATAAGCCCAGTGGGTTCCTCTACACCTTTATTTGAAACCCGGTCACACACATTTATGTCATGATTACATCATGGAGGTTATATTACACATGATAAAACTTACTTTTGGGGCACACTTGCTCTCATTAATTCCCCTGGGTCCTTAAACCCCAGCCTCTCTTGGCATACAAGGAGGTGTCTTCTGTGCTGGCATGCATTCTTGCGGGAGGACTCCAGGCTGCCAAAGCGGAGGGTTTCATACTCTTAAAAGGCGTCGAGGAGGTAGTCCAGACCTGTAGTTGACAAGTACAAAAACAAATTCCTTGTAAATTTATAGAATCAAGAAATCTGGTCATTATTGGGTGCAGTATTTGTTAAATGCATGTCTGGAAGTAGTCTGAGTATCACCCGTTTGTCCATGAAGCCCAGTCTCTGTCAAACATCTGATATGCCTGGATATGCAAATTTATGTGACCCCATGCGCCAGCCAATCGTTAATCATTAAGTCATTTCATACTGATCTGAGTGATCGCCCCAGTTGTCAGCTGAGGACAAACATTAGGGTGAGTTGTAGACTTGTTTCCAAAATGTAGTTGTTGATAATTTTATATGCAGTGAATTCCTTCAGACCTGTCAGAATCTTAATTATATTTTAATTGATAGATGGCCCATTGAAAATCATCTGTCAGATGGTTACCATCTGTAAATAAAGCTATTATTATTATTATAATCTTTTTGGGTGATGAATCTTTTTACAGCACGATTCCTAGTTGGATACAGCAGTATGTCTTGCAAAATGTAATATTTTGACATTTTTATTAACTGTTGACCTTGATTAATGTTTGTTTACTCAGAAGATTGACTCGGCCAGATCTGATGGCATCGATCACTTGAAGTCAGTTAATCACCAACAAAGGTAATTTTTCAAGTTGGACTTGATTCGTGCTTTCATATATTTAACTGTTGTTGATCCCAAAACCTCTTTTCTTTAATAAGGGAATAAATGTGTGCTTGAGAGGTTTTAATCACTCTGTTTAAGACCGCTTAGAGTCTGGGTGCTGATAATTAATTAATTATCAGCACCCACTCTTTAACAGAGTGATTAATATCGACCGAGCATATATTTATTCCCATTCATAAATACCTTTTCGGGCAAAAAAAATAAAATATTTCGGTCAAAAAATCCCGATTTTGTTCAACAAGTTCACTTCACGCTATTTGAAACATCCCTCTAGCTAAATAATGGAGTGTTCAGCTGGCGATTAAGATTTAAACAACCCTTTGATGGAGATTGACGTGCGCATGGCACCTTTTGTGGGATGTCACGCAGAACGCACCTGGGGCGTTGCGTTTTGAATTCAGAACTAAAAAAAATCTGACTCACTAGTAGTGTTGCGCATGCCTACGCGAGGACTGTGAACATTCAACCAATGAAACGGTAAGAGGAACTGGATTTGTAGGAGTCCACATTTTACGTGACACTGGAAAAGTGTTTAAGACCAGCTAGCCATGTCTTTACCATCCGTTTAAGACCGGCCACGTGACGGGCTCTCGACCAATAGGAATGGCTAAACTGTCTGAGGTATTTATGAATGCACATTTCATTACAATATTAAATATGCTTTGCAAAATAATGTTTAAGATTTTACAAACACGAATACAAAAGGAAATTATCGTGCTGTTAGTCATTTTTTTTCTTGCTTGTCCAAAAATCTATTTGGATTCACTGTAAAACAGCAAACATGGCAATAAATTGATAATGTGGGAAAAACTGTGTTATGCATGCACAAGCAGCATGCATCCTAACATGTATGCTGTTTATATAGCCAAAAATGCACGCCACAGATGGCTGTCAATTCGAGAATACCCCAAGCCATAGCAACCAGGGACCGGACAATCTGTTCGTCGCCTCTCATAGGAGCTGGGTTTCTTGGGTTTCCTTATGGGCTGTCTGTTGACACAAAAAATATACGTTTGGGGAAATTATTTAATAAATTGAAACTTAAATACTTGTGATTAGTTAATTAACGTCAATTAATCTCACGTGTAATGATTAAATGTAAAGCATGACTTGTGATTAATTAATTGAATAATGTTAATAAATTTCACGTGTGACGATGAAATTTAAAGCATGACGCCTGAGCTTTCATTTTTTTGGTTCACTCATTGTTATTGTTAAAATTGTGTCAAGCATGCAAGCACTCATACATGTAAAGGGTCTTTCCACTTCTGATTTTTTTTATAAAGGCATTAATCACTTTAACTTTTTGAGGTCATCATGATAAAAAGTGTCTCAATTTAATATTAATTTGCAGTGACAGCAGCTGCAACACAAACGATTGCTTGAACTTACTCTTTGCGGCACTTTCCCAACACAGTGAGGCGCTTATATATTTGTCAATAAGGTTGTGCTTCCTAGTCAGATGTTGTGATAGGAACTTGAAACTTTTGTGGTCCGGGCAGAAGGGGCATTTCCTTGGCAGTCTGTTGGACTAGATTAAAAGGGAGACAATTTAAATAGATTAAATAGATTAAAGTCTTTCATGGTCATATCATCGTCGGTCCCGAATACAACTTTTGAGAACTAACAAAACTAAAATTAAAAAAACTTCAATATTTTAATCTTCACCAGTTTGATTGAACATGTTGAAGGTACTGTTTTTTTGTGTTTATCAGCCATGCAACTTTTCCTCGGTTCTGCTGATTTTCTTGTTTGTTTTTTTACTTCTCATGAATGCCATTACAAATTAAAAAAACAAAGCCTTGTGTGGTTTGGAGTTTCCTTGTTTTTTGTAAATTCCCAGTTGCATGCCTGGTTTATAAATGTATGTGGATCTCTCTTACTAAAAAATTACTAACTTATAAAGTATTTGTAATTGATAAAAAGATATATCACATGTACTAACTAAGTGTTGTTTACTTGTCACTAATGTTTGGGGGTTAATAGGATTATCATCTCTCTGATGGCATTTGCCCAATCACACAAAGTGGTTTCATGATTTAAAAATCGCACACTGCAGGTAATGGGCAGAGATACAGCTGCCGTGCACTTTACTCATTTAATCACAGTTTGTTTTGCGTCACTTTGTTGCGAACCTCATTATTAAACACAATTTTTTTTGCTGGGATGTTCAAAACTGTCTATGGAGCGTGTGTCAATAAAAACGCAGGATTCAAAGCGATTTTTTTTTAGAGAAAATTATGCTACTGGTGTGCCTAATTCGATAAAGATTTGATTGTCCATAATTTCATCTTTGACAAGATTTTTGTTTGGTGGAATTCGGACTTTTGGTTCAAAAGTTATGACAAGTTTTGTGAAGCCCTTCTGAAGCGGGTTGGTCTGATTCAATTACCTTAACACAACGACCAGTTATGTACAATGCAGGTATGCATTGAAGACAATTAAACCAGAACAAAACTTTCTTTGGAACAACTGATGATAAGTATCACTTAAATTTAATAACTGGACTATCATTGTTTCAAAGCATCATGAATGTCGTCTCTGACATATCAAATAACATTGATTGTGGACTAAAGGATTATGTAAACCTAATCCTGCCACACATGTCCTTCTTTGTGATCCACAAATACTTTCACCTGTACTGAATTCAAACCTTTCATTAGGTATGTGTGATTTCACAAATCAGACCAGCTTGGAATTTATAACCCTTCTTCAATGTACTCTATCTCTGGACAGGATTGTCCAAATGAGATGGGATAAAAAGCATAGTGAAGAGAAGGAAAAGTACTTTGAAAAGAGGGTTAACATTATGATGAACAGGGGTGGTTTATATTCTTAATATTTTTGTTTCTAATCCTGCGTTTTTATTGACACACGCTGTATTAGAACAAAGTGTGGCTGGACACATTAAACTTACTGGTTTTCTTTTTGGCTTCCTCTGACTTGCATATTTTCTCCTTATTTCGATCCTGCGTTTGCTGTATGCAAATATATTGACCTCTCTATCTCTATCCTTATCTTCTCCAGCCGCCTCATCCCATGGCTCCTCCTCCTTCTCTTCATCCTCCTCCCTCTCATCCTCCTCCTCCTCCATATTCCAATCTTCATCCTGCGTATCCTCCTCCTCCTCCTCCTTCTCCATCACCTCCTCCTCCTCCTCCTCCTTCTCCATCACCTCCTCCTCCTGTTGCTTATCCATCACCACCTCCTCCTGCTCTTCTTCCACCTCCTGCTGCTGCTGCTCCATCACCTTTTGCCTCCCTTCCTCCTCCTGCATTTCATTCTCGCTCTCATCTTCAAACCCTCCCTGACTTAAGGCCTGCAAGATCCTTGCTGCCTGTTTAAAAAATGTTTTGAAATTGTTTGATTTACTACAGCAACTAAAACATAAAATTTCAATACAATGTAATAACAGAGCCGTCAATCATGCTATTATCTCCAAACTTGGATCCTCAATTCTAAGATGCAAGCGCCATTCCATACCACATGCACATATGTGTAATAGGATAACCGCCAAAAAGCTGTTATCTTGTTCCATCATCTTTAATGTACATCAAGTGGTACACGGAATGGGACACAGACGCACGTTGTTCTGTGTTCCACGCATGCTATTGGGATAACTGATAAAAGGCTTAAAACAGTCCCCCAAAAATATGACATTTTTAAGAAAACATGTATAGGCAGATTTAATTTTATTGGCCTTAAAAAGGAAGCACTTACATGACACTTTTGGCTTTGCTTGGGCGCCCACCATTTTTCAGTTTTAGACCTCTGCCATAAAATATGCAATGGTACCAGCGTACGTACCGTCCGCTAGCACACATAGCCGGTCGGGAACGGGTAGCCTTGTGGACGATCTAGTGGATGAAATCATTATGTTGTGCGATTTCCCGAGGTTTCAAATTTAGTTATACTAAATGCAATGCTTTAAAAATTGTGATGATTATCTCGCGGATAGTGAAGAGAGCATTAGCGAAACATTTCACTGGCATTTGTTGGAAGAGAAAGACGAAAATACCTGATTTTCTCCACGTATGAATTCAAGTGGAGTAGTGGAGTTGTGTGGTTGAATGGACTTGATTTCAGACTTTTCCCTAGACTTTCTCAAGTAAGAAGTAAACTTTGAGCCATATGCCAGTTTTATCTCTGACACTAATAATGTTAAATGAATGGTATTAAACAAAGTTTTAATACCACACTTGTATTCCCATTTATAAATACCTTTTTTATAAAAGCCCCCCCCCCCCCCCCCACATTTTAATCTCTTAAAGTTCCTAAAGATCTTTGTAAGTAAAATTTGTTGCTCTGCCATTCTGTGGGTTTTTTCCTATTCATGTTCCTGGGCCACTGTCGTGTTTCTCCCTCTAGTATCACTCTAAACAATAAGAATATTTTAATTGACACAATCCAGACTGGCGATTCATCCTGCGTGATGCGTGCGTGTGCACCTTGGCGAATTTTGCCACTATGAAATACTAGCTTACTCATAAAACTTGTGTTTCGGACACAATCTTCAATAAGCCAGTTCGGTACATGTACCTCGATTTTTATGTAATGACCTTTGACATAGAATACTAACATTTCCAACGATGAAGCAGTGTTGAAAATGTCCATAAACTGCAAAATACTTATTTCTAACTCAGAAATTTGAGGTACCAACCCGGAGATGTAACTGTCATTGCACTCAATCTGGACAAAACAAAGGCAACTTTATTTACAAGGCAGTCTGGCAAGCAAGAACATTGACTTACTAACTGACACCATTGATGAGTGCTTACTGACACTGAGTGGGGATGATGGTCCACATTCAAGGTAATTCATGGTCTGACGATCAGACTATTTGGCACACTTAAGAGGTTCATGTGATCATTTCAATGAAGGGCTTGAGCGCAGGATTCGCAAACAGGGCGCTGGTAAGGGCTGATGAGCTTCACAGAATCTTGTGAAGGAAATATAGATGGACCTGCAGCTCGCGTGCGCTACGCACGATGGACACTGGAAGCTAGTTTGCGTAACGCGTTCTACATCACAGGTCACGCAAATCTATCTAATGAGAGATCAAATGATGTCAGCCCTGACCAGTGTCCTGTTTGCAGGACCGGGGGTACGAGCGAGTATTAACATTTGAGCTTTCATTGGATAGATTTGCTTGACCTGTGACGTAGAACGCGTCACACAATCTAGCTTCCGGTGTAGCATGAATTTAGGTTTTATGTAATATGGACTCATTGGTGGTATTGCGCATGCTCATTCATAGATAATTGGGAGAGGGACCGGTCACGTGAGAGGGTTTATCCAATAAAAGGGAAAAAGAGTCCGATTTTCATACAAGTCCGATTTTCATATGACACCGGTACCAATCGTGCGTAGCGCGCTAGCTGCATGCGAAGGTCAATCTGTACTTCCTTCACAAGATTCTGTGAAGCTCATCAGCCCTGACCAGCGTCCTGTTTGCAGGGCAGGGGTACGAGCGAATAATAACGTGTGATACGTGATGTTACGCGGCTGCCTATTGTGCTTGTAAGTAACGTGCGAGCATTGTACGCCGGCCCTTCTCCCTGCGTGTTCATACGCCTTTGATTATCATTCGAAGTTACCAAATGACCTGTGACCTATATCGTACCATGCACAAGCGCAGTTGAAATACCGAAGTGACTTATTGTAAACCTTCAGGAATATTATTAGTTATCCCACGAGTGTGAGTGGAACACGAATTATGTAATGCTTTGCGCTCCACATACCATATAGACCGCTTGCAGACGCGTTCGATAATCGACGCGCGAAGGCGCGCGACGCCATGTTGTGGGACAAGCGTATATCTATCCATGCACATTTTGTCCCACAACATGGCGTTTGCACCTTCGCGCGTCAATTATCGAACGCGTCTGCAAGCGGTCTATTCCGTGTTCCACGAGCGCACGTGTGAGATAACGAATTTATCTTCAAGCAGACTTGACGCACAGTAAAGATTGTACACATGCTGTACACGATATTTTCAGCAGTTTTTCTAAATGTGCGTGTTGTACGAAATGGCGCTTGCATTTTAGAATAGCGCAATACGCAGAGTGGGGTATGGGACAAGGTATATGGTTTTATGTAGCGCGGCTTGTTGCCATGGATCTCCCAATCGGGATCGAGGATTTAAGTTTGCTTGAAGATAATGTCCTCTATTGCTCAGCGTCTCCTATTGAATGCAGAAACAAACTTGACACACAGTACACATTACCCATCCCTCTGTTGCTCTGCTCCTTAGCTCCACTAGCAGGAGCTGGTCTCCCAAAACTTGTTTACAGCGCACTTTAGGACAAGTCCCAGCTCTAAGATAGATTTTATAGCTAATATTTCACTGAACATGTTTTAAGCACTTGAGACACATCCAAAATGCCTAGTTAATGGCTGTTTTCAGTTTGTTTACATTGCTCGACAAAACAGACATCACGTCACACATTGGAGGGCAAAACAGATGGACTTTTGCCCCAAAATGGCCATGTTTGAAAGAAAATTCCTGTGATAAATTTCTAATAGAACCTTAAATAGATTTGATGTCTAATTACATTTTGGTGTATAAATTTGGTCAATAACGTTCCTTAAATACAAACTACACATTTCCCATTCCAGAAATCAGCCAGTTTGCTTGTTGACACTTTATGCCTGTTGATCGACTCTCTTCGCTACTGGGGAAAAAAACCTACAATTTGAAGAAGATAGGACAAGAAGAACTTCAAGCTGGTGTAGCGTGAATATTCGACTAAATGAAATTGGGACTCATTGGTAGTGTTGCGCATGCGTAAGTATAGAGGATATTGACTTGTCACATGAGAGGGATTAACAAATAGGGTAAAGGAGTCCGATCTTTACAGAAGTCAGATTTATATGATACTGGTCGTAAGTAAGTTCATGGTTAGGATGGGTTTAATGCATTAAAAGCTACAATCCATCATTTGCAGCTACCCAAAAGGTAACTGACAAAATCATTGTTCAAAAGCATAGGGCCTACCGGTACTTGGTTTAAAGAGAGACATTGGAATAAACTTCCTGTGAAATGATTCTTTCTGGCATGCTGTCATTTTGGAGGAAATAATTAAAGTAGGCCATTTCCAAACAATGAGAAGTGTTAAAACCGACACGATGCAGACACCCGCGTGGTTGCTATATTTCATTGGGTCATTGTGCTCAGGCGTTGCTGCAATCAGCCAAATGTCTGGATGCTGAATTTGGGTGCAAATCAAAACAACGTTGGCGGATTCAAGGGAGCATCCGCCCCTGGCATAGACCAACATTTTATCAAACAAGGGAAGTCCGCCGGCAGTAACTTCTTTGGATCTGCCCTTGAACATAGCTAGGCAAATTTTGATTTGAAATTGAGATCTCAGAATATGCTGCATTCACAAAGTTGAAAACTCAAGCATTTTAGATTTTAAAGGTAAAAGTCCATCATTTGCAATTTGTGTGTTACATGTATGTTCGTTTGAAGCAACAAAAGTGCTTAAAATCTGAAGAAGGGTGCTTATTTAATAACTAAAGTTATAGAGTTTTAGCTCAGTGAATGCTGTATATCCTGAGAAGAGCAACATTCTAGGATCTGTGATTTCAAATCAAACATGTATTAGTCGTGTTTTGAATTCTGCATTTGGTACACGTTTTCCTTCAGCCGATTGCAGCTACGCGATGTCACGCACGAACCGATGAATTATAGCAACCGCGCGTGCGTGTGCGTCTTTGTCAATGCTTGCGTCTGCTTCGCCGAGCAATAAAACGAGAATCTCCAAACGATGAGTCTTTATACGCATCATTTGGAAATGCCTTCTCTCATTGTTTTCTTCAAAATAACAGCATGTGTGAAGAAATAATTTCATAGGGAGTTTAGTGCTATTACTATCTTTAAACCAAGTATGATTTTGAACAATAATTTCGTCAGTTACTATTTGGGAAGCTGCATATGATGGACTCTATCTTTAAATACTTTTGAATACTTTTTTTTAAATGAACATATCTGAAAAACTGAAAATGGACTAACGTTTTAAGTTTTGGTGAAATCCATGCTAGCTCGAGTCGCGAATTAATTAGGAGTTACCCTTCCTAAGACGAATCCAAGCGTTTTGTGATGTAAAATTGGCCTAAGTAAACTTTACAACATAATAACATCATGTGTTTGTTTTCATGGGCACTATAATTGACTACGGCATGCGAGAGCATGCATCAGAACAACCATGTCCATGTGAGTTCCATAGAAATGTGCACATACGTAAACAAAGCATTATGTCATTATGTAGGTTT